TATAAAAAAACATACTTTTTCGTCCTACAGTGTGACTTCATATGCCATCTTTCGCTATCTATTGTGCTTCTTGAATCTTAGAATCATCTTGTGTCATTGAGTTGTATCTACCTGGGAATCAAACTTAAGACCTTTGGTCTGTCAAAGCCTCTCATGTTGACCACGAAGCTGTTAATGATAACCTAATCATAGTAACGACGAGGGCATCTCAAGGTAACACTATAAAATTATGTTAGTCGAAATAACTATGCGTTTTTTTCTTAAAAAATACGATGTAGCGTCGACTGTACATTAGATGAAAGCTATGGAAGAAGGTAGAGTCTTATCCCATGGCTTGCTTTTATCATGTTTTTTTTTAAAGATTAACAATTAAGTATGGATTATAAATTTGTATCATTTGTACATAATGTAGTATGTATCCACCCGTCTGGTCACCCCCTGTCTGACCAGCGTGAGATTCTAAATTAGAGAAAGTCGTGCTCCTGCAGTTTAGAGTTTACACTAAATGACCTGACGATTCATGATGATGTATATCTATCTAAAAACTTCCGAGATCATACGCATATAAAAATAGCTCCACTCGCGTGGAGTAAAGCGTATTTATTGTAAACTCAGGAGATGTAAGGGAAAATAAAAACAAAACACGGTATAAGCAGGAAAATGCCCTCGATTACAATATCGCGTGACCTACGAGGTAAAAGCGAAGGTGGTATGAAATAGGCCGTGGTCCGTGGTTCGTGGTTCGTGGTTCGAACTGTCATGTGTGTAGTGGCATGTTTTATGCTCAACCTTATAAGTTTACTTGGTTCTTATTGTGCATAATAACTTTAATGAGTATTAACTTAAGTATGCGTGCAGGATTTATTATCGTAAGGGCTTTTTAATATGACTTTGTGTTTTGCGTTTTAGCTTTGATATACCTATTACGTTATACCTGTTACGTATTACACTAAGCATTAATTTATTTATCAATTCAATGTAGTGAAGTTTTTACGCGAGCTTTTCTATTTTTACCTTTGCTAGAGTCACTTTAAAGCACGTTTGTTTTGTATAATGAAAATTTATTCAATTAAAAATGAGCTCTATTTTTTATACTAACATTTTAGGAAAAGTTTGTTTGACTATAAAATATATATTTATACGAAAAAGGTCACATATTTTTTATTTTGTCACGTTTATAGGCCATATATTTGTCTCCGAATGATATATGGCTGACTTACGTCTGAGACCTAGATCCTTTCGGGTATTTTTCCTCCGAAATGACATCGTTATGCTAATACTAGCCTGGATCCGCTTAACTAAAGGCTGATAAACTGATAACGTCTAGGTAATCACTAAGGCAATTTTATAACGATTGTGATTCTATAAAGGAAATTGGCTCTTATTTTATCTAATTTATTCTATTCTAGTGATCTTCTTGTCGTGTCGACAACAAACCTACACAGAGTCAGCCCAAAATTCCGCCACAAGAGTGGCGTTGTATGCTAGTGATGAGTTACAACAGTTAATTTTCGAACGAATTTTTCGTGCACTTAATGACGCAATGTGATAATGAAAGCGCGACCTTGTTGAGGCATGACTATACTCGTATAGCAGTTGATAAAAGATGTCTGCTCTATTTGTGGACAAAATTAGCGCCCGCTATGTGCTGTGTAGCGTAGTCAACAGTCATACATTTCAAACAACTTTTTTGCAGTAACCAACCATCAAATGGCGTAGTTCTGACTTCCAACGTCATTTATCAATGCATTTTTTGTTGTCACAGTGATTTTGGCGGTGCCATCGCTCCGGTGATGCCAGATGACTCGTGACGTGCACGTCGTCCCCTTGACACCAATACGTGGACATTATAGGCCAGTGGCAACCTCCCGCCATTCAGTTTTGGTGATTCGTTTGCACTTTGGACGAGGTCGCCTAATTGGTACTTGTGTTTTCGATGTTCAATTGTTTTGTGTTCACGGTTTTAAATTGCGTTCGAATTTTCCCACCCATGGAAGGGTATGGCTTCTTTTGTTTTATAGCTTATGGTTGATTATTCAATATTAAGTACACGACACTCGATTGTTTTTTTTTTCTTCTAAAATTATTTTGTCCCAAGTAGGTATAATCACACTAAAAAGTCTTTACTATTAATGATCTTCTTCAGTTCACATGTTTGGTAGTTATGTTTTGAAGTGTTGCAAGATATTGCGTCAAACTAAAAACAAGAATCACGTTTCCTTTTCATAGACAAACGATAAGAACAAATAAACAGATAAAAAAGATATGGGTGGGTTTCCTTTGAGAATAACAATGAATTCATCTCACGAAACAAGTGGTGCTCTCGACATCTCAAAGATAAAATAAAGAAACTTGTATTCGTTGCAACTCAGTTGTTCAGACGAGTCAAAATAATATCTTGTACTTTTTACTTCATCTTATTAATAAATTGATATGCCATTCAACTGTAGGTTTGCGTGGTAAAAACTTGAAAATGTAGAGTTATTTATCAAAATAAGTGCTTGTCTCATAATAAAGAAAACAAAACTTTATAAAAGAAAATCGGCCCTGACGATACCATCAGTACGTAGAAGACTTATTTTACATAATTTGTGCATCCAAAAAGTGGAGTAGGTATTTAATTGGTAGGTAGGTAGGTAATTAAATTAACTCGTCAATCTGGTAACGGCAATCAAGAGTTATACATATTATTATTAACGATAATGAAAATTGCGGGCACGCGTACGTACCTAATAAGTTGTATTATGTACGAATCTAAACACGTTAAGAGCCACTTTACAAGAAAATAATATGTCCTAAAAAAATTTTTTTTTTATAAAGTACGAGCCGTAGAATGTTAAAAAAATACGCAGAATTTTATTAGATGTCAGTTTATAGAAGAAGTAATTTGAGTTTATAATAATTAAAATTTAAGTTTTTAATCATACTTTTAAAAACAAAAATTAGCAACAGACTCGAATTCAAATACAATTTTAGTTAACTTCATAGAGATAATCAAAATCAGCGGCGCGTAAAGTCATCTGCTTTTTTGTACAATCTAAAAAATGCAAATTTAAGCTTTACTGTCCAGTGATAGAGATACAATTTCAATGAGTTTGTTCGTCAGCTGATGTGACCGACAGGACCTTGGTGCAGTTAACATCGGTTCCGATAACTATTGGGTAATTTAAATCGGGTATCAAATTGGTTTCGTAAATACTTCCTTATAAACGTAAGTTTGAAGATCTCAATTTCACGTCTCATTTAATAAATTGCTAGATGATCTAGTTGTTTAATTAAACTGTGTTTTAATTACAGAAATGGTATTTGCAACATCTTTTATAGTAAAGGATTGTCAAATTATTTAAATACGATGTTCAGTTAAGTTATAACATCATAATTTTGTCAAAATTAGTAATAAATATAATTGTATTTTGGAGAAGGATACAATAATAATAATAATGAAAATCGTAGTACCAGTACTTTTATTGAATCGGTGAGTTTATTTTTTACGTTTCTTCTTACATCTCTACGTATAAATTTACTTTATTCAGACTGTTATTCAATTGTTTTTAAAAATATAATTATTAGTTGCCAGTAACTTTTATGAATCAAAATTTGACCTTCTTTTAAAAAAACTTGTCATTTTTTTTATTTTCATTGTAGGTACACTGTAGGCTAACTAAAGCCTTTTGTTCATTTTAGTAGGTACACTGTAGGCTAACTAAAGTCTTTTTTCATTTTTCAAGCCTTTTTTCATTTTCATTGTAGGTACACTGTAGGCTAACTAAAGCAATGTTTATTTGTTTTTGATCAAATGTATTAGACATGACAAGGCTAGAAGACAGTATTGGAATTTTGCTCTCGATAAAATATAAAATTTTGCTGTTATTAAAGACTAGCACGAACTTTAACGAAATGTTGATCATATATTTCTTGTAAAAACGAAATTGTATTCTGAATTGAATAAAGTAGAATTAAAAATTGAAAATTTATTACTGTTTTGAGCAATGTCGGGATAATGAACAGTTCGTAACGATTTTTATTTCATGTGAGTGTTTTAGCAATAAATAATTTAGATGCCTGAGTGTTTTGAAAACAAAAGAAATAACTGCATTATCAATTTTGTTGTTAATTAACTGTAAATTTCAGCTTATCTTGAAAAAATACCAAGAAAGAATGAAACAAAATGAATACTATGTCACTTTGTATTTATCACTTTTCTAGTATTTGCACAGTTTATACCTAATTTTTTTTTATTTCCATATCAGTAAAAGTAAGCGACTCTATATCGACAATGATCACAAACCACTGGTAAACTGGTAACTATGGTAAGTCATGTGATTTCAGTTCGAGGGTCTATCTTACGATCTACGATCTATTCCTGTATGTAAACTTGCATGTATACAAAGTATAGTTTGTTGAATGAATCCCTGTCTGAACGCCTGCCAGGTCGCGTATCACGCTCATTTAGATTTAGTATATGATCTGTAGGTCATGATCAGCTTTATGATCGACGCGCACTCACACCTGGCCAACGACTGTACCCGCTATTAAGTGATTGCCAGCATCTTTGGCAAAAAAAAAGTAATCTCGAAAAGTAAAAAAAGTCACAAAAAAGTAAATTCTGATCACAAACCATAAAATCCACTTTACAGCCAATAAATAAACATTACATTACACCACGCTCGCGTTTTGCATGTTTCCAAGTTACCATACGCGGTTGTATTGTTGCCTACACACCGAGAAAATCACAACCTTCACGTCACTGCCCGCAACCTTGGTCACACGCGTTATCGCATTACATTAACAGCCTCCCGAGAACTGTGAAAATCACTGGTTTCCCTACCAATCCACCACGTGATAACGCATAAAAACAACGCATTCGAACAATCAAAACAGTACGACACAGCGTAAACGCTAGAACAAACCGGCGCGGCCTTGAACGCTCTAAGCAGATCGGCTGAAATACTCGCGTGGAAATAGACGGGTGAAAATACGACCACGTGATAGTTACGTACCTCGCGTACTGTATGGAGAAAATCGATGGTGCTTGCCACTCGGCGGCCGGCGGCTGACTGAGCCACTGTGTCAGCGGAACGCGCCCCACCCGAGCCTCCGCCCGTCGTATCACAGTTTGCAATTAAAAAATATACTTTCACCGTTTTCGCACTACAAAAATAAGGGTTTGCACATTAATAAATTTTCGATGAGGCGGCGTCGGTGAGGTTGTTCGTTCGCGGATGACGGCGCCGTGGCGCGTGCTCGCGGCTCCGAGTGGTGCGGCGGACTGCCCGGAGCGGCAGCCAGCGGGCCGGCCGTGCCTCCCTGCCCCTGCGTGACGTCGGCTTCAGCGCGCAATGGTGGAAATTAGCAGCTTCCGAGCGAGGGTCGCTCGATGTAGGTCACGGGGACTGCCTGCACTTGCCCACTCTACCGTGCTGATACACTCGACAAGTTTAAGGACGTAACTGCTTGTCATTAGGCGCACAACGCGGCTACGGCCTCGTAGCACTGCTACTTTCATCTACGAACAAAGAAATCAAAAATGTTGAATACCTTTTTCCCTTCCCATTCTCGTTTAAGGAACGAGCAGGAAAAAGACAAAAGGCTTCGCCGAAGAGAAAATTGACACAGTTACAGTTTTTTCTTGAGCGAAATGGATAAAGTTTCGATTTCGTTTTGCCGCGATAATATTACTTTTCACTGAATAAATTCGTTACAGGTATCCATTTGGGGAATAATCGCAGTTTCGTAGCTGCTACGCGCTACGATTTACGTAGTAGTATTAATATACGTATTAGAGCTATGGGTATGTATTTGATTAATATTATGTACCTGTATTATTAATGGACATAATTATGGATGGACAATTCAATTAACAGCGTGATAGCCAGACGATGTTAATGTTGCGGATGTGTATGACGTATGCAAGTAGGCCCAGCAATCGATAACTCGATCAACCGAGTACGTACAATGACGTACATGTCGTGCGAATCGTTTCAAATCAAATAACGGAGGGCGGCACAATTTCTAGCTTGCAATTTTATTCTAGACTAGCGGCCGCCCGCGACTTCGTACGCGTGGATCCCGTTTTAACCCCTTCTTTTTCATACAAATGTTTTTTCCGCTAACTCTCGTTCCCGTGGGAATTTTGCAATATCCTGTTGTAACTAAGCTTTAAGTTTACTAAGGTACCTGCATACCAAATTTCAAGCGTCTAACTTAAGCGGTTTAGATTTTTCATACAAAAGAATTTTCCCGCTAATTCCCGTTCCCGTGGGAATTCCTAAGTATATTACAACCTGCCCAGGAGTATGAAGAATAATTGTACCGAGTTTCGTTAAAATCCGTCGAGTGGTTTTTGTTTCTATAAGGAACATACAGACAGACACAGACAGACAAAAATTTAGTGATTGCATTTTTGGCATCAGTATCGATCACCCCCTGATAGCTATTTTGAAAATATATTTCATGTACAGAATTGACCTCTCTACAGATTTATTATAAGTATAGATTTTCGAAAACTGAAACAACTGACGATAGTAATTTGCGAGATTGCTCTCGGATTTGAAACGCAAATTAAATGTACCTGCAGTAGGTAAATGTTAATGAAATACTGGATCGAAGACTACTAACGGTGATTGCGTATTAAAATTTATCATTAAATAAAACGAGAATAAAAAGCAAAATGAATTTGAGATAATAATATAGGTACCTGTCAATAAAGCTCTACATTTTTTTTTCAGTGCATGCATTGTTTCCGCCTACGTTCATGTTTGGAAGATTATGCAGTCTTTATCAGTTTTGTATTTACTGTTTAAGTCTTATTAATCTTAAATCTTTTTCTACGAGATCGCCAATATTCCTAATGCAATAGATGGAACGTATTGTCCTTAACAATTCCTTGCAAAGAATCAACTCCATTTCTCTAGTATTCCGAATTAGTCAGAGACACATCAGTGTCTAATAGAAGATACTTTACGAAACTTCTGTCGCACTCTAAGTACATATAGACGACTGTATCACCAGTCTGTCCCCGCAGACATTTTTCATTGAACCATTCCTAAGTCCATAATATGTCCAGAGTAGTAGTAGATACAGACAACGGCACGTATAACTAAATACTGTGGCGTTTTATGAAGTTGTGATAGAGGCGATTTTTCAATAAAAATGTATAGCTCATGTGCTGGCTGTACATTAGTGCTGCAAGTTGAAGCTCGTCATATGCACTGTCTTTAATTTAAAAGTTGCCGTTCCAAAGGTTCAAAAACCGGGAGATGTTTCGATTTTCTTTTGTTTTGACACTTATGTCAGCAGTTAGTGCTGTCTCAAAGATTGTCAGTTGTGTAAAGTATGAGTACATGCGTACATTATAGTTTTTAAGTCTGGTCAGTACCTAATATTTTTCCAAGTCAAGATGATACTGCGATCTTTAGGCATGTAAGTAAAAGTACCAAAAAAGTTATTTTTTCACTTGTAAATGTGAAAATAATTCAGGATTACATAATATTCGTAAAGAATACTTAATAGAACTTCCAACCCCATAATTTACATAATTTCTATACCAGAAGGCGTATTTTAAATTAAGTGGGCCCAAAAATACGTGTCCAAGAAAACAATCACCATCTCATATTTCCATTATTCTATGCAAATGCTATGCTTAGTATAATCTTTCAAATCTCGTCTTTGCATAACGACTAACAAGCAAAGTAGCGTCTTAAGGCGTATTCACACGGCATCCGTCATTATCGGTTCGTCAAAAAAGTCGATACGTCATTCATGACGAATGGACGTTCACATTGCATACGGAATCGCGGTTTATCACCTTTTGGCGTATCATTTTCCAGGTACCTTTACTTGAAGTAGCGCGATTAGTATCATAAAGTATGTAGATTCTCTATTTCTAAGATTTTCTGGGGTGGGCACTAGACCATTTTGAGGTGGCCTATCAAGATTCGTTAGATTTATCTAAAACAAAAACAAGATTCGTGTTTTTTGATACTTGATTTAAGACATAATATCCGTAAATTTTTCACGATTCGTGATGTGTGAGAAAACAGGATTTAGCATTATCGCCAAAAATTATAATAAAAGGAAGACGATTTGTCAAAAATCACGAATCGCCGTTGCATGTGGACGTGCCCCTACTTGAACATAAATTTTTGCGCAACTTTGCTCACGTCTCTCGTCTTTATCTTGGTATAAGAGTGATATGAAACAGCTGATATCAGTGTTATCAGATATTTCCAAACGTCAAATCACGTCAGGGAGATTGAAGCTGGGTTTGGTAACTATGGATGAAGAAATATGGACTTTTGATAAAATTATGGAAATTACATTGCATAAGGCTTAGTATTCGTACGAAAGAATAACGTCTAAAATGATTTATTTTGGTCTCATTCATGTTGGGGTCTCACGACATTCATATTATATGAGACCTTCAAATGCTCAGAAAGTAAGTTTTATAAGCCTAGAGATTTGTTTTAATATTAATAGTTGTGTGTGGTAAAAAGTAATTTTATTGAATGGTTACTATTGAAGTTTTGGATCTTGTTCGTAAGCTCTAAACCGTTACATAATTATTTCATTTTTTTTTTTATAAAAGATTATTAGAAATTTGTATTGCTCAAATTAGTAATAGTCCCATTAGCCCCTCGTGTTAAGCTAAATAAGCTTTACATAGAGCATTTTATAAACGAGTCTGTGTAAACGTGTTTAATTAAGAGCTCTGTGATTTGTTCGTGTGTCAACCTGTGCGTCCACGCGCACTGTGAGACCTCATAGTAATGTTTGTGAATAAGGGCGTTAGCTGTAAATAGAAAAAAAAAGATCGTTCTAGATAAGTGAATGAGATAGTTTTCCTTTCCACTAGTTAGGCAAATGTTAGTACTTTCAAAGCATTTGTGTTTGCTATGTAGAGCATGCAAAATCTGCAATGCAGCATGTTCGAGATGAATGCTTAGCAATGGATGCCATTATGCATTTTTATAGAAGTTTTCTATGCACAATTTTTTATTGACGCTCGTTTTCCCTATTCAATTTTCCTTCCAAATCCATCTAATTTTGCCTGTCAACTGGCAAATTTCAGTCTGGATTAGTGTTTTTTGGTTTTTCTTAAAGTAAATTCTTACTACTTATCCACGATAAAACCACACCCTTTAACTAAAGATGTAATATATCATACCAGGCTGCTGCGAAGATTTTTTTAAATTTATACGGAGACGTTTTTAGATGGTCATGAAATGCGCTAATTTGGTTATACTTAAAAGTAAGAATTGTTGTTACGATGCGTTTAGTGTAGCCTCTGTGTGTTACTTATTCGATACCTACTTAAACAGATCTTAAGTTAATTTTAAAAATTCACATTAAATCACTCACTTGTAGACTTTAAGATTAAGCTGTCCAAAGTTTTATTAAGTAAGATTTCTAGTTACTCGTATGTTATTTAGAGATGGGATATTTCTCAGAATAGAGCTTATTACACTGTAAATTTAGATGATACTTTTATTAAACACTGTTTGAATAGAAGTTTATTTAATGAATTCAATTCATTCAATTTATCTGATAAGATGGATTAATATCTGTAGAGTAGGTATAAATATTGTAAGATACAGAAAAACCAAAAGCCTATAATGAATAAAAATAGATTAACCTTAAACGTTTCTTTTTGACATAAAGAGGACTGAAAGCAAAACAAATTACTACCACAGACAACAGACAGAAGCAACACAAAGATATTATTTACTTTAAATTTATAAACACTGTAAATGTATAGAGATTAAAACTCGCTAATCCTATTAATATTTCCATATAAATGTAAATTAAATCGAAAGGATCCGTTTCATTATATTCGGGAGGGAAAATCAATCCCAATTTTCGTTGGAAATGCCCAACACATTGCTTTTCGTAGAAAATTGGCGCAAAAAACCGACCGAGTGTGAGATATGTTTTGATATTCAGTGTTCCGTACCATTTCTTAAAGAAAGATAGAAAAAATGTTTATTAAGGCTTAGGAAATTAATTGTTGTTGTGTTTACATTTATAAGACTACCAGGTAGTTAACGGCTGACCTTATAAGCCCGTATAGAAAACAATAATTTTCTTTTTCCAGGTAAGGACACCTTAATTGAAAGATTAGGTATCTCTTACTGATCTCTTTTAGAATCAGTTATTCGTATCGCATTTTTTCATTCATAAAAGCAGCAGATATTTACAATTTCTGCCTAGTGATTTTCAACAATAGAACACTGTACCCTGTGTATAAGGAACCATTTCGTGTTTTATTTCCCAATTTTAAGTACACAAT